CCTCCCTTCCCATTGCATTTAAAGATTGCAGATACCTTAATCTAATCGTCATAAACAGTTCCCACACTCCGGACAACTCGCCTTGACTACTTCCGTCACCACTTCCTACGTCGCGGACCTGTTTCCCTCCCTTCCCATAGCATTTTAGGATAGCCCATACCCTTATCTAATCGTCATAAACAGTTCCCACACTCCGGACAGCTCGCCTTGACTACTTCCTTCACCACTTCCTACGTCACGGACCTGTTTCCCTCCCTTCCCATAGCATTTTAGGATTGCAGATACCCTAATCTTATCGTCATAAACAGTCCCCACACTCCGGACTGCTCGCATTTACTACTTCCTTCATCACTTCCTACGTCACGGACCTGTTTCCCTCTATTCCCATAGCATTTTATGATTGCCTTTACTACTTCCTTCACTACTTCCTACGTCACGGACCTGTTTCCTTCCCTTCCCATAGCATTTTAGGATTGCAGATACCTTAATGTATTCGTCATAAACAGATCCTAGACTTTGCACTGCTACCCTTGACTACAATGTCTCGAGTAATCTTAAGTATAATCAATCTTTGGTATAATCTTTGCTCAATATTAACAAGTGATGTTTTTCCTTTTGTACTGTATTTGTAATTTGCTAGTATACTGTGGGTAGTTGGTTTATTATGAACACGTGCTACAACTTCAAGTCTTTTGTTTACCTTTTCCTTGTTATTTAATTCAACCAACATGGTTACTTAGCAACCCATAAGACTAATGTTAAAAAAATGTGACTTTCAGTTTCGTTTTTCTACGTAATTAGATTTTTGTTGGCAGTTCTAACTGCATGAAACTTGTTTTTAGGCCAAAAATAAACTATTTACAAGATTTGAAGAAAATCGTCGGAGCCGTTTTCGAGATCTTTCTGCAAGCAAGCAAGCAAGCAAGCATACATACAAGCAAACATTGCTCGTATTAGAGTATAGGATTAGTTTAATGAGTACATAGGTTTGCTGCAACAGGGAGGGTAAAAACGTGTTTTTTTTTTGTAAAATGTTAATAGTTTAGTAAGAAATGAATGTTTTATTTCCAAATTCGAACAAAATATCTTCATAAACAAGCAAACTACAACAGTCACTTATTCTCCATAACAATAACATGGGAATTTAAAATTTACAACTTTTTGGAATTTTCTCCGTAACCATTAGGCGCAAAATAACGCTTCAATATACTAAATTATTTGTTTTTTTAAGCTCCACAAAATGGTTTGGAAAGAAATTGTGAAATTTTGTGTTTTTAGGGTCAAAAATGGGAAAAACCTATTTTCACCCCATAAAACCCCCCATAAACCCCCGTTCCCATAGTCCAATCATGCTGGTTCGCGAACTCGTTTGAATAAATGTAGGTTTACACGTTTATACCAAATTACATCAAAATCGGATCATTTTTGTTCGAGTTATCGTGCTAACGAACACATATATATCATGTTATTTTATATATTATTTATTAATATATATATATATATATATATATAAATATATATATATATATGAATTTGAACGGATAGCGTTTTTGGCCTCTAGCACAGAAAACATATTACTATAACACAGAATGCCAACCGCGTGGTAAAAAGCATTAAGTGTTTTGAGAGAGCTTTGCCTGTCAATCGTAGGCAGCGCCACCAGCGTTGCCATGCACTCAGCATAGCAACGCTGGTGGCGCTGCCTACGATTGACAGGCAAAGCTCTCTCAAATCACTTAATGCTTTTTACCATGCGGTTGGCATTCTGGGTTATAGTAGTATGTTTTCTGTGCCTCTAGGGACCTCAAAACGAAAAAGTAAATCCGTCCCGGGTCCAGGTCTTACCATGAGTACTACGGTAATAGCTTATTCCCTATATGGGAAATTCGCTAATATTCTCTATATGGGAAATTCGCTAAAATGCCGAAGGTCTGGCAGTCATTGGCTCTTGGGCTAGGAGGGAATAGATTTCTTTGCATAAAACCACCTAAATTTTGTGAACATAGAATATTATGTGAGGCTCATTAAAATTCTCTAGTTACATGCAATCATCGATATCATCTTCTAGACTATTAGAAATAACTATGTGCACTTTCACTTCTCTAAGATAGTGATGCACCTACAGAAAAATTACAAAGGCTGTACTATTAAAGATACTAGTAAGATCAAAAACTTTGATTTACGGTAGCGCTATATTTTTGCCTTCATGAATGTAATTTTTTTTAATAACAGAAAAAATATGTTTATTTTAAAACATTACTGTATAAAAAATACCCCCACCACAACAAACCTGCAGACTACGCGAATTTCCATTTACCTGTCTAAATTTTTACTAAAATATTCCCTTAAAAATATCACATTTATTTCCTATTTAAAAACGTTAATTTTAATGAGTATTTAGGTTTGCTGCTACAAGGAAGGTAAAAAGGTGTGTTTATATTCAAATGTTGATAGCTTAGTATAAAATAAACAGATTTGCCAAGTTTGATCAAAATATATCCATAAACAAGCAATCTACAACATTTTTACAATATTCTCCATAAGAATAACATGGGGATTTTAAATTTACAATTTTTTGAATTTTTTCCTTAACCAATAACCATATAAAAACACTTTGACATACGAAACTATTTATTTTTGAAGCTCTTTTAAATAGTCTAGATAGAAAATGGGAAATTTTGTGTTTTGAGGGTCTATTTTTTTTAGGCCTACCACATAAAAACCGTTCCCCTTGGTCCGATCATGCTGGTTCGCGGACTCATTCAAGTCTTCACCTTAAGGCCTTACATTTTCAAACCAAATTTCATCAAAATCAGATTGAACATTCTGTATCGTATACAAAGTAAACACATTTAAAGGTTTAAGATATTTGACTTTTTCAGTTGTAATAAACACCGGTGGCCCTTTAACAATTGGAAACAGATAACATTTTGGGACTTTCCTACTTTAAGTTCTTCGTTATGACATTCTTTAATCCTTATCATTGCTGGAAAACCCCGCATCAACAAAACAATACCTGCAGCATTGGATATTATGGCTCAGTTATGAGATTGTGTCTTAGAATAATGTTGTCTAATTTTTCTAGGGTTAATTTTTACATTTATTACTAATAATTTAGCAAACTACTAATAGTTTTTTACTTTTTTCAGTGTATGAGTATTTACTTTTTAAGTATAATTCATTATTTTACTAAGTGAATCAGAAAGAATAACAATATTGATGATGAGAGGCTATGGTAACCTGACTAGGTCGTTTCAAGAAGTTACAGATCTTTATAATGAAGAAAATTACCCTCACCCACCTATTTCGAAATCCACAGTTGTAAGGTTTGTTCATCGTTTTCAAGAAACGGGAAGTGTTAAGGATTTGCCTCGATCAGGCAGGCCAAACTCAGTTTCAGGCGATGACAAAGCTATTGAAGTGTTACAAGCTTTCGTAGAAGATCCACATAACTCTACTAGAAAAGCTGCCCAACAACTGGATGACATCAGTAAATCTTCAATACACCGTATATTGAGCAGCAACAAATATCATCAATATAAAGTAAGGTTAATACACGAACTAGCAGAGGATGACTTTGACAGGAGAGGAGAATATTGTGAATTGATGATGACAAAAATTGAAAACGATGAACATTTTATCAAGAATGTAGTTTTTTCAGACGAAGCTAGTTTTATGCTAAGTGGGGCTGTAAATAGCCACAACTGTCGATACTGGGCAGATGATAACCCACACTGGATGCGTGAAGCTCATACCCAGTACCTGGAAAAAATAAATGTATAGGCGGGAATTTTCAGAGACCAAATAATAGGGCAGTTTTTTATTGAAGAAAATTTGAATCGCAACAATTACCACCAGTTGTTACTCAATGAAGTTGTTCCTGCAATTGAAGCAGCAAGAGATGAAAATCATGAAACTTGGTTTCAACAACAAGAAGGAGCGCCACCCCATTTTGGAATAAACGTCCGCACGTACCTTGACAGTACATTTCCACTTCGATGGATAGGCCGGCGAGGGGCAATGGAAAGGCCTGCCAGGTCTCCCGACTTGACCCCCCTAGACTATTTTCTTTGGGGCTATCTTAAATCTAAAGTTTATATTACAAAGCCCCAGAACTTGATAGATCTTCGACAACAAATATCACACGAAGCTCAGCAAATACCAGGGGAAATGATACAGAATGTAGTACAGCATCACTATTACAGACTAGCACACTGTGTGACTGTGGAAGGAAAGCAGTTTGAACACTTACTCTAAACCCTGGATATCACCTTTGGTAAGCAACTTTGTTTTTGAGTGTAAAGAAAAACATTTTGTTATTATTAACAAGTGTTACAACATTTTTGTTATACTTTAAACTCTTTTGTACGTGTGTTTACTTTCTTTTAAAATAATAAAAATGTTTAATACAACCAATGGTGGCCGATTTTAAATTACATGACCATAAAAAAAACACTAAAAGGTCAGCCATTTTGAACAGGAGCAAGATATCGACCTCGGATTTGTGCTGTTGTATTTAACTCAATGAGAACTTTAAAATGATGGGTCACTAGATAGGGGTTTACATTTAAAAATTTGGGGCAACAACTCCCCCAAATTTGGTTTTTGGGGGCAGGGGTAATAGTGCAAAACACATAAAAAAATAGTTTTTTGTAGCCAGGAGTCATGTCTGAAATATTATTACTGTAGCTAGTTTCGTTTAGGAGTTATTAAACCGGTCCGGGACTTTTGGGACAGTCTAACATTTTTAACGGAAGGTGTTTTTGCCCTCTGGGGACCTCAAAAAGAAAATCAATCAAAAAAGGTAAATCCGTCCCGGGTCCAGGTCTTACCGTGAGACCTACGGTAATAGCTTATTATCTATATGGAAAATTCGCTAAAACTATGACAAGATAAACATTGAAAATCTGTTATTGATCAAATTGTTACTGTGGATAGACATATAATGTCCACAAAAACCAACAATGCTCATGATGGTTTTATGAACTAACTCATGGTACCTAGGTTATGGTAGATGTTCCAATCTGGAGAATCGGATGTACGCTCCGCTTCCAGGTAGGCTTCCAAGGCCAGCTCATGACGGCCGAGCAGGAAACTAACATAATTTATATTTTATCAAAATAATTTTAAAATCATAATCTGTGTATATCCTTATTTTAGTTAAATGTGGGTGTATCATGTGTGAAATCAAAATAATTAGGGTATCAAGTGCTTATTGACACATATTTTAATTGAATTGGGAGAAAAACTGACCATCGAAAAAGAAATAAGTCAAATGGAAGAGGTGGAAGCCAAACTGTGAATGATTTTAGGCCCAATTCAAGTGACTCTTTTGAATAATTTTGACATTTATTTATTTATTTCGCATGCTACAAAACAGAACACAAATCCCATTTACATTGCAGACATGGTCTTAAAAAGGAAGCAAAAATCTAAGGTAAAGTTAAAGTCTAAATTATACAACTATCCTGCTTGTTTTTATTAAAATCGCTCACAAACAAAAGTTCAAATCTTTACTCTGTTGAAACTTCCTCCGTGCCATTCCATGGTACCTCAGAGTAACAATACATAACAGAGCGCAACCATACGGGTGATTCCCTGCCCGAAACTCGCGCCTAGTAAGGTGCTGCCTCTACAGTCGACCTTGGGAACTAGTCTTTTGAACTGTACTGCATTATCGTAGATGCGCGGATCAGCGGCTGTAGAACCGATGTATTTTGCTCGCCTGAACTCCTCAGACCTGTGTTTATTTCACTCAAGGGGTTATTAGCAAAGAAAATTTTCAATCAATTTAGGATTAACTATTCACTTTTTTATTTTCAAATACGCTATATTTTTATCCGATAGGTTTAAGCACAATCTAGATACCCAATAATAATAACTCTTAATGGCCCAAAAATATTTTTTAAAAAAATAGGCATTTTAGCAGTTTTAATTTTTATTTTTGCATATTAAATTTATATAAGAATTTATCATTAAAATTACTTAAAAAAAATCAAAAACTATTGATTCAATTTGATTTAGTAACTGAATCAACTCTTAAAGAGTCCTTGCACACCTAAGAGCGACCATCTTGGATTATTTCAAACCGCTGTTGAAGGGCTATTTTTCATCCATTAAAAAAAAAAATGCCAAAGTGATTGTAATTTAAATATTTAGGACACTATAGGATCAGACATTTTCTTTTTAGTTTTGTTATTGTTTTCCAAAGGAGTCCATGGAAGCTATCGGACATCTTTGATTTTCCTAGCATAAGAGCAATGTTAATTGATAATTTTGTTCAAACAGCCACTGAAGAGTTATTTACAATCTCAAAATATTTATTCAGATACCAAAGTTTTTGTAATTTTAATATCTAGTGCACTGCGAGATTAAAAATGTTCTTCCTATTTTTGTAATTGTTTTTTGAGTTGTAACCTCTAAGCTCCAAGGGCTCTTAACAATTTGTGTTACTAGTCTAGTCCCATGTCCCGTGTGCACTTATATGTCCCCTAAGTTTTGTTGCGGGACTTTGTCTAACACCTATGGGAGCTATAAAATACCCCCGCCACAGCAAACTATCTTGTATAGTTTTTGCGTTATTTACGGAAAGTAAATAAAGATACATCTTATAACACTTAAAACATATATTATTAACGTTATTTAACATCAAAAGTTTGTAAATTTAGAAAAATAAATTTTTTTCCCATGTTTTTTTGTTCTTTTTGACAAGTTATCTCTTAAACTATGCATCCCCAAAATAAATACTGGGCATAGGGTTGTAGAAAATCAAATTCCCTTCAAATATATATAAGACTTTATTAGTTTACCTTCTTAAGTTCAGATTTTAAAGCAAATTAACCGTTAAGTATAAAAAAAAGGAAAGGAAGTTGAAGTCTTGTGACAACTGTTTACTACTGAATATTTCAATCAATCCAGTCAATCAATTTCAATTTATCCAGTCAACTAATTGGTTGGAATATCTACTAGCTAAGGTGAGTACTGGGCATCTAATAATAGCACAGATAACCAAAAGAAAATATAAACATGACATGCTTTTGTCAAATGCTGAAGATATTTTGATGCATCCAGAAGAATCACGTTCAAATATATCATCTAAACCTTGTTGAGATAGTTTAAGGTGCGAGAAAAAGATGTCCCTTACTTTATTTCTAAGAGAATAAAAGGATAAATAACCCCGCCGCAGCAAACCTGCAGACTAAGTGAATTTCAACTTGTCTGATTAAATTTTTACTAAAATATTTCCATAAATAAGACATATTAATTCCCTATTTAAATAACATTAGATTTAACGAGTGCTTAGGTTTGCTGCTACGGGGAAGGTAAAATTTTTTTTGACCATATGTCAATAGTATAGGATGAAATAAATAAATTTGCCAAATTTTATCAATATATATCGATAAACAAGTAAACTACAAGAATTTTAATTTTCTCCATTAAGGAACGCGGCAGCGTTCCGCCCCGCCAAGTCCCCCAGCGGTACACAGCTGCTGCAGTGTATATATACATGACGTGACAAAGTGGCTTTTTTACTCGTCTATAGCTCTGAAGAAACAAAAGCTATTAAAATAATTATTCATCTACTGGATAGGGGCACTCATTCTCAGCAAAATAAAAAAAAAAATTTTAAAAACGGTTGTGTTTGAGCCAAGAAAATCTAGTTTGAAAATTCACAAATTTTCCGTTTCCTCCTTCTCCTCCTCCTTCTCCTCCTTCTCCTCCTCCTTCTCCTCCTCCTTAAATGTTGACGGACCTAGAGCCCAAACCACTGGCTCAATTTTAATGTTTTTTATGTTGTTTGAAAGCCCTTAAAGTGTAGATGTGCCTTTTGAGGGTCTCAAGTTGGTGCGTTGACCCATAAACCCTTGGCTAGCCCTCAAAGTACGATTTTGGCCCATTTAAATAACATGGGATTAAAATCAATACAAAAGAAGGACCAGCTGCGATTAAATCTCAATTAATTTAAATGTTAGAGAAATTCATAAGAACAGCTGAAAAATTATTTTAAAACTTTTATAAAGTATTTTTTCAGGTATACCGAATGATTTGAACTACTTGATACACTAAAACAAATAAAACAATCGGGAAAATCCCTCTACCAAAAGAAAATATAAACATGACATGCTTTTGTCAAATGCTGAAGATATGTTAACAAGCAAAAAAGTTATATGTAAATTTAGGATAAATGAGTTTTTCAATATTTGCTTTGCCTTATGCTATTTCTAACAAACCTAATCTGTTTGATTACATTTTTACTTCTCTAATAAGGGCTCAATTTACACTAGTCTTTAGATACACGGGTTTAATTATCAGAACACTTGTAACACCAACGCATTTTATGTTGTTCAAGATGACCATTGATGAAATTTTAAACTGATTTTAAGCCCAGGGGTTTGTTAAATAGTAATTTTGGTACGTGTGTCAAAAAGTTTTTAATCGGTTTAAAGCAGATAAGACCAAAAATTTAGAATTTAGTTCTACACAAACAATATTATTGAAATTAAATGAGATGTAGTTGTTCCCTGGTCTATATATCAGAGAAAGGAGGACTTTTATTTTAACTGTAAATTTTCTACAAAAATAAATAAAATCTAACAAAAAACCACTAAGTGGTAACACTTTCCCCGCCAAGTCAGCAATCCAAAAAAGACAATAAATCATTACTTTTTCCGGCAAGAAAAACAATGTAATGTATGTAAGTTTGGCAACTTGGCGGCAGACTTTTGCTTGATCACTTTTAAAAATACCATAAAATTAGTTTCATTGAGCAAGTATCTCTCCCAATAGTACATTGCTAGGTGAGAGCTTATTTTACAAAATTTGACCTTATTTGTGCCACATTTCATAAAATCATAATAGTGATGGTTTTATATTTACTGATTACCTCAAAATTATTATACTTAGTTGGACTAATTAATTAGAGAAGTTGATTTGTGAAATTATCCAGCAACGTAACTTTAATGAAAAAAACCAAGCAAAAGTCTGCTGCCAAGTTGCCAAACTTACATACATTACATTGTTTTACTTGGCGGAAAAAGTAATGATTTATTGTCTTTTTTGGATTGCTGACTTGGCGGGGAAAGTGTTACCACTTAGTGGTTTTTTGTTAGATAAGAATAACATGGGAATATTAAATTACACTACTTTTGAATTTTCTCTGTGACCGTTAGGCATACAACAGCGCTTCAATAAACTAAATTATTTCTTTTTTAAGCTCTACAAAACGGTTTAAATAGAAATTAAAATTTTTTTTCGTTTTTAGGGTCAAAAATGGGAAAACCCCATTGTTACCTCATAAATTCCCCCATAAAACCCCATTCCCATGGTCCGATTATGCTGGATTGCGAACTCGTTCAAATAAACGTAGGTTTACACGTTTGTAACAAATTTCATCAAAATCGGATCATTTTTGCTCGAGTTATCGCGCTAACGGACATATATCTATCTATACTATTATAAAGAAGAGGTGGTGTCTGTGTGTTTGTATGAGATAATCTCAAAAACTACTTAACCGACTGGGCTCAAATTGCACACACATGAAGCTACAGCTCCGAGGATACATATAGAACTATTCCCGCTTCGATATTGTCCTAGGGCTCTGCCCCGTGGGCTTTAAAAAATTTGAGGTGAGAGATTTAAAAGTAAATATTGATTGATGGTATCCATGGTAACAAAGAACAAACCTACAAAGTTTAAAAATGTAAACAAGCAGAACTATGTAACTGTCAAATGAATTTTGATTTCACAATTCCACACAGCTGGTTTAAACCTATTAAATACTGCACGAATATTAGAACAGAAAGGGTAAGGATTATAAATTTAAAATAACTAGGTGGCGTTCGCAGAGGCATCCACAAAATTGAGCGGAGTCATCAAGGGTTCATATTATATTGTTTTTGTCATACTGCAGTAAAAACAGCCGTTTTTAATGCATGCGTTGCGGGTATCCAAGTATCATTTTTAATACTAAGGGAGTAAAAATCGTATTTAGCCTCTATGGAGTAAAAATCAGTTGTGTTGTCAACTCAGTTGTAAATTTCGATTGTAAACGATTGCATGTATCGAAAATATGTATCGATTCGTGCTTCGTAATCA